GGGGCGAATAGAGACTTCCAACAAATCAGAAATCCTAGCGCTATCAAAAAGTGCCTTAGTAGGACCATGACCCACAAGACGAGCATGCCACCTACGAAAAGCTACGTCAGATTTGGGCCAAGTGCGAATACCTTTTTCACGAAGTGGCTCCAGCGGCAAAGAATTCAGAAAAGGAGGGCCATGAGTGCAAGGAAACAGCTGACCCACCGCCGCCTGTTCGACTGCTTCCGCATTGTTGAAGAAAGGACCCAAGTAAAACTCATTACGTCCAACATCGGCGGGCGCAAGAAAACTTGGGGTTACGTATGAACGACTCAGAAATTTCTGAAAGTCGTTAAAACTAAAGGAATCGCTAGCTTGGGATTGTAAAGCAGCCATTCAATTATTATTAATTCTGCCATATTGGGGGGTAATTGTTGACACATAAAAATTCAGCCCAAATCGAACAGCCCAGAGAATAAAACCTAATGGGAGGATCCCCAAATCAGATAGCCCAAAGAACGAAATCCAATTGAACGAATCAAGGTGAATGCCCAAATAAGGGGCCCAATAGTGCGGTAACGCCATCGTCCAAGTTTGCAAGTCGCTCAGAGTCTGAACGAATAGAGTGGCATACGGTCGTCCAAAGTCTCGCCCAAATGTTCAAGTCGCCCAAGGTATCAACAAACATAACGCATTATGATGCAGTTATTGAGGCAGTTGCTAAAGTAACTTTGTCGCGTTCCACGACTCAAGGGGTTCAATCCAAAGCGGTTGAACGATGCAAGATAATGGCAGCAGTTAAAAGGACAGTTGCATGACAAAATGGCCACTACAAAGAAAGTGGGTAGTTATAGGGCGATCAAGCAGTTTTTTAGAGCAGTTAATCACAAAGGGATCGCCTATAAAGTATAAAAGAGAGAAAGAACTTAGAAGAAAAGACCGAATCCAAAACTCTCGAACAGAGAATATGTAATTTTCATTCCTTTAGCTTTTAGACTTAAACATTTCCTTTTCTGTAACTCGTGTACTTGCGCCCCTTGGAGGCACGTTGTTTTCCGTTTCCAATTGTAAAGTTCATCGCCAATAAAAAGAACACCCCTTTTTGGGACTTTGTCTCAAGAGGTTTCGTCCCTTATACAATCGTCTGATCCTCTTTAATTGTTAGCGAATTAACTTGCGCGAAACAGTTATGCATTGCAAGGACTATTGCATCTGCACGATGTACACTTTGGTGGCACTGTTTTAAGAAATATGATTATTGGAGACTTATCTCCAGTATCATGCACAAGCCAAGTGGATGGAAGTCAAAATTGGCACAATAATCTGTCCGTGTCTTTTTAACAAGGACCTCCTCTATCAATATGAAGAAGTTTTTTGAAAAAGAATGAAATAGTAGAGAAAATGAAAATTAGTTTTCTTTTAAAATTTTCTTACAAGTGATTAAATAATATATAATAGCTTAAACTTTCCCTTTTTCAAGTGTACACGAAGCAAGACCGATCTTGTGGCCAAGCAAATGAGGCATGCGCCTCAGACCCAAAATCGGAGGAGGCCTGTATTGGCCCTTTTTTTTTTTGTTTTAATATCAAAAGAAGGTTTTCATTTCCTTGTCCCTCCTGCCTCCTACAAGTTGCGCAACAGCTTCCGCAGCTACACCTCCGACACTCCAGTTGGACCGACAACTAGGCGATGACTAGTAGCTTCTTCTCTTCTTCTTTCATTACAGCGTTCCTTTCTCTCTTTCACACAAATTACAAGAGAACAAACCACAAAACAACTAAAGAAGTTAGAAGTCGACCCTTTTTTCAAATTTCAATCCTAATCGACGACCCGCAACCGCTTGGCTCGTCACGCTCGAGTTGCTACTCGCCACCTCCACTATTTTTCTAAGTTATGTTTAGAAATCATTTTAATCTATATGTTCATAATGAACTTTATGGTTGAGCTGTTAAGGAATTTTTTGATCAAAACCCTATATGTTAGGAATATTTTGTTTAAAATTGTAGAATTTCATGTTTTAAGATTTAAATTGATGGTCACATAAGGATATCAATTGGGCTCGTCGACTCGGGCCACCCGTGGCTTGGCTCAGAAAAAGCCCGAGCCGATTCGGCTCGAGGCTCTGGCCGAGCCTCATTTTGAGGTTCCGGGCCAAGACCGAGCCCAAGCCGAGCTCGCCCGTGTGGCTTGTCGGCTCGGGCTTGAGCCTTATGTAAAATAAAATAAAATAAAAAACCAAAAAACCAAAACGAAACAAATAAGGCAGCAAGCTTAATATAAAAGAGAGAGAGAGCGAGAGAGAGAGAGAGAGAGAGAGAACCAAGCTGGCCCAGCTCGGCTCACTAAGGCCTGAGTTGAAAGCTCGGGCCGAGCCTTTTTTTTTGTCGAGCTTTTGCTTAGTTCGGGCTCGAAAAAAGTCCGTTTGATTTTACTCGAGCAGATCCCGAGCCTTGAGTTTCGATTCGCGAGCCGAATCGACTCGTTGACATCCCTATGATCACATCATCTATTATATTTTTTGTTGAAATTTTCAAGTTCTTGATTTTCTAGCTTTTGCTTCAGTTGAGTCTCCATCTATCAGAATTATTTCACTTTCTTTTTTCCATTCATCGGATTTGGATTTTTCTCTGCAAAAGATTTGACTTCTATGGTTTTGATAATTGATCTCAAATTCAACGTTTCATGGATGCTATCTACTTATACTCAAATTTATGTCACATCAGACTTGTCTACTTTTTACTTTGAGCATAAAATTTGTGTAAGCTCAAGAAGTTATCATTGAAGTTTGAGGGCAAAGTGTTGCATGATCATGTGGTGAAAATGGGTTTTGATTGTGATGTCTATGTGGTGACCAATTTGATTTATATGTATAGTGTGTGGTAAAGTAAGTGATGCCAGAGCATTCACAGAGACTCCTAAATTTTACAATTTTCCAAGTTATTAATGAATTAGAGCTCTTGCTTGACACTAGTCATTAGGAACCAAATTTCTGTTTTTGGCACAAATATGACTAGCATTTCGACTCTAGTTAAAGATGGAGAGGCAAGTGTTTAGAGCATTTACTATCCTTATTTGACATTTTCTTCTCTTCATTAAGTTTATTTTGATGTGAATTTGACTGCCAT